TGCCCAGCCACAGGGTCAAGCTACCTCCAGCCTTGCCCCTTTTCTTCTCCTTGTCCTTGGGCTGACTGGCTGCTCCAGCCAGACAGGCCTCCTCTCACTGCCCCTTGAGCAAGCCTGTCTCAGCTCCCCTTCAAAGTCCATGTAGACTCTTACAAGATGCCTCCCCTGACTGCTGGCGTGAGAGTCCTGTCTATATCACCTTGTGGCACAGTTACCCACTCTCCTGTTGGTGCCACCACCGCACTCCAAGAACGTCCTCTTAGGCACCTGTGTACCCAGCATGCCCAGCATGCTCAGTGCACACCTGCTATTTCTTCGCCATTCCTCTAACAATTCCTGAGCACCTGCTGGGCGCCAGGCACTGTGCTAGATGCAAGGATGCCGCAGAAAATGAAACAAAATCCCCGACATCATGGAGCTTATACTCTGATATGGGAGACAGAAAATGAAAAAATAAACACATACATTTATAATATCATGTCAGAGATGAAAAGTACTATGAAGATTAAAAAAACAACAACAACAAGCCACGTAAGGGGAGAGTTCCGGAGTAGGGAGAAAGATATTTTAGAGGAAAGGTCTCTTAGAGGAGGTACCATTTAAGCAGAGATCAGAATGCAGTGAGCTTGTTTGACTGAGGGGCTGAATAGTAAATGAAGGATGAATGAATGGAAGCATGTCTGAGCTAGTTGGAAACCTAACATGAGATGAAAAGGTTAAATAAAACCCCAATCTTTTTCAATACCGCGTTATCTCAGATGGGACAGGAGAAGAGATTGGTCATCAGTACCTAGTCCAGTAGGTAGTAGGAAGGCTTCTCTGTCTCTTTTTACTCCTCCAGAGTGAGGAGGAAACTCCCCCAACCCCACCATGATCAAGAAATAAAACTTTGTTTTAAGCCTCAGAGATACAGGGGCTATTTGTTACTACGGCACAATCTGGCTTATCCTAACTGATCATGAATATACTTTTCTGCAACATGTTTCTTTCGACATTGTTTTTATAAAGTTATATTCACAGTGAAGCAGGTAGCTTGACTTTATTCATTTCTAGACTCAGCAGAATTCCTTGCCCACCTAGGCGAGGGTGGAGGTGGATGGTGAGGGAAACCAGTTGTAGAGGACATTTGTTTTGAGTCGGCTGGATCTCCACCACCCCCTTCCTAATTGGAGCCCGTTTTGTGTCCTCCAGAGGGGCCAGACCCTCTTTTTCCTTGCGTGGTCAGAAATGCACAAGTCCCTGAGATATTTCCAGAACCCCCCACCCCCTTAAACACTGAGGAAATCAGTCCTAAGAGTGCCATTTTACAGATGGGGAACGACGGAGTGCTGGATTCCAAAAGAGGCATTCAAAGCCAGGTCAGCCTACTCACAAGGACAGAGGCACCTCTTCCTTTGGCTTCCAGAGCACTCAGCCTCCTGGCTTTGCCTCCTGCCTCTCCGTCTGCTTGGCAGACTCACACTTTCCTACTACTCTGCCATTCAAAGCCTTGGCTGCAAGCTCTCCCTCTCTTCCTTAGAACCAGGGCCCACAGATGGTATCGGGGTGTGGTTTTCCTTTGCATTTTCCAGAAGATTTAAGCACCTTTTCATATGCTTATTGGCCATTTAGATACCTTCTTTTATGAACTGCCTGGTCAAGTCTTTTTTTTTTTTTTTTTCTTTCCTTCTTTGGTTGTCAGTCTTGTCTCTGTAAGTTGGTGGGTTTTTAAAAAATTCTGTCTGAGTTCTTTATAAGTTATGTATTTCTATTTCTTTCTTTTTTTTTTTTTTTAATGTGCTGCCTGTCATTTTCCTTACTGGTGCCTTTTGATGACGAGAAATTCTTATCTTAATGCAGCCCATTTTATCAAAATTTTCCCCTCTGTTTGGTGTTTGTGTCCTCTGATAAATCTCTGCCCACCCCAAGGACATGAAGATATTCTTCTTTGCTTTCATCTAAAAGCTTTTTTGTGATCGTTCACATTTAGATTTACAATCCATCTTGAATTGATTTTGTGGATAGTGTAAGGTAGGAGTGAAGAGTCCTCTTTTTCCCCAAGTGGAAATCCAACTCATCCAGCGCTAGTTCAGTTAACAAAACATTGCATGGTGGTATACGGCTGTTCACTGTATCATTCTCTCAACCTCCCTATAGGTTTAAAAATGTTTTAATAAAATGTTGGGAGAAATGATGAAAAAAGGTACAGACGCGGTTGTAGGTAAATAAATACTATGGCAATCATTCCAAATGTAATGTATAAGCTTTGATTTGATACTGTTGAGAAAAACAGCTATAAAAGACATCCTTTAAGCAATTGGGGAAATTTAGGAATGCCCTGGCTGTTACAGCATATTACAGTGTGATATTATTGTGGTTAATGTAAGAGAATGTAATTTTTCTTAGGATTTTTGCTGAAGGATTTCTGCATGAAGTACCACCAGTAAGGCAGCGACTTACTTTTAAATAATTTGAGGTTTTGTGGCTCAGGCGTTAAGCGTCTGCCCTCGGCGCGGGTCCAGATAGAGTTCCTTATCGGGTTCCCGGCTCGGCAGGTAGGAAGCCTGCTTCTCCCTCTCCCACTCCCCCTGCTTGTGTTCCCTCTCTCGCAGTGTCTCTCTCTGTCAAATAAATAAAATAAAATCTTTTAAAATAAATAAATAAATAAATAATTTGAGGTGTGTGTGTGGGGGGGGATCTGGACTTATGAATATAGAAAGATAAATCTGGAAAAATGGTAACAATCGATGAATCCAGGTGGAGAGTGCATAAGTGCTCCTTGTACTATTCTTTCAACTTTTCTGTATGTTTGGAAAATGTTTATTACAGACATGGTAGGGGAGGCGCCATGGTGTGCGCCCAACAAAAAGTAGCTGCAGGTCATATTATTCCAGCTAGTTTGACATTTCTGGTCTAGGGCCTCAGCTCAGCTATCTCACTTACTCCAAATCATCTGCCTGCGGCTATGGGCAACACTGGGTCCATTTTACAGACAATGAATAGAATCTGAGGGGTAAGTGACTTAGCCTAAGGTCACACAGCCAGCTGAGACCAAGCCAAGATTTGAACCCGAATCTGAGTCAAAATTCTCTGCTTTTCTTTTTTGTTGTTTATGTTTCTTCTGCCCCATCCTGTTTCCCAAGGGTGTTGGTCAGGTGAGAGCTACGTGCATTTACCGTGTGCCTGGCTTTGCTTGTTATTACTCAAATCCTCACAACAACCCCATGCAGTTATTACTAATAATATCCCCCATTTTACTGAGAGGCACAGATAGGTTAAGTACCTTGCCTAAAGTCACTCAGCTAAGAATGGAAGAGGTAAGAGTCAGGGAACCTAGATAGTCTGGCTCTAGAGCCCTCACTTGAAGGGTTAAACACTAAAATAGAAAGTAGGAAACACTTTAGGAATAGAAAGCAGGATTATTGTTGGTTCCCAAAGAATCCTGCCGAGTCGTCTCTCCTCCTGACTGCTTCTGCCAAGACAGCCCTTCCAGGTTGAGATGTGTCTACACAGGGAACACTTTCCTCCCCAATTCAGCTGGCAGCTTCTCGAAACTGGGGCTGGTTCTTCTAGGCTTCACCGTGAGTCTACGAGTCTGCGGTGATTGCCTAGGGTCTCTGGAGGTCTTTTGGCCTGAGGCTGATCTTAAAGCGTTGTTTTGGTTGCTGTCGCACACTATCCTATTGAGTAGGATACCAGTATGCCTGCAGGATGAGAATTAGGAGCAGGAGGGAATGCTGAGGTAAGTTACCACCTAGTAGTCACAGGTTGGCCGTGGGAGGCAGGTCAGTTTTGATGTGAGCCCTTATTGCAAGGCTTGGGCGAACTGCTTCTCCGTCTAGGAGCCTCAGTTTCCTCATTTGTAGGATAGGAATAATAAGAGCACGCATTTTAGGGCTGCTGGGGCAGTTTAATGAGATAAGTAAAGACCCGCGTCTTTCAACGCAAGTCTTCGCATTGATAACCGTTATCATAACACTCCTTATGGTTCTGTGGGATGTGGACTTTGCCTTGCCTAGAGATCTAACCTTATTCCTGCCGCTCTCCTTGCCTCACTAGATTTTATCTGTGCTGACCTTGGAAAACCAGGAGACAGAGGAGGCTTTTTAACCTCAGGGTCTTTGTGCCTGCTCTTCACCCTTTTATGTCTCATCTCGTCTTATCTTCTCAACGAGGCCTTCCTTGACCACACTAGCCTACCTCCAATACATTCTCCTGTTTGTGTTCATATCATTTATCAGTACCCGATACTATGAATTGATTTGTCTCCTTTTCTCCTCCCATTTGAGTGTAAGTTCATGAAGACAGATTTTGTCTGTTTTGTTCTTTGTAGAATCCCTAGCACCAAGAATAGTGTTTGGTCTATGTCTGGCCTTCAATAAATGGTGAATTGAATGAATGAATGAATGAATGAATGAATGAATGAGGGAAGGTGTATGCCGAGCCCCTGTGCCTACAGTATCCGCTCCACTGTCGCAGGGGGCGACCAGCCGCGTCCGACATTGCAGACCGCCCCTTGGCTGCGGGGCTGGGGGCGCCCTTGCGCGGAGCCGGCCGGCACTTGAGCGACGCTCCCCGAAAGCCTGGGCGGTGGCTGCGCCAGAAGAGGGGCTGTCACCATTTAGCGACGTTCCCTGCGGGCCGCCGCTCCGCCGCGGGAGCCGGACCGGGCGGGGGGTGGGAGTCAGGCGGAGAGCGCGCGCGCGCCGGTCTTTTGCGACGGTGCCCGGCGGCGCTGGACCC